ATCAACTTTTTTTTACTCTCTTTAACTTTAACTAGGCTATGTTGTAAAAAAATACTCCCGCCGCAGAAAACTAACTGAATTTCCATTTGCCTGATTGGATATTCAATCAAATATGTCCTTAAAAATGGCATAGCCTATTTATAACCATATTTAAATAGACTATCTTTAGTTTAACAAGTTACTTAGGTTTGCTGCGACAGCGAAGATGATAAAGTATTATAGCAAATTTCCCTACAAGTGAAGTAGATATTACCGTAGGCGTCAAGGCCCGGGACCAGTTTTCTTTTTCATTTTGATGTGCCTAGAGGCCAAAAACGCCAACCGTTCAAAAAGTTATATATGTATACCCTATGGATTTATATATGTGTCCGTAAACGCGATAACTTGAGAGCTTTTGTCCCATTTTGATAACATTTGGTTTAGGTAAAGGTGTAATGCGGGATAAACTTAAATGAGTTCTCAAACCAGCATGATTGGACCATGGTAAAAGGGTTTTACAGAGGACTTTATGGGGTCAAATTGGGTTTTCTCATTTTTGACCCTCAAAACACAAAATTTCCCAATTTCTCTCAGGACCTTTATAAAGAGCTTCAAAAACAAATAATTTAGTATATTAAAGACTAAAGAGTTTTTGTACGGTTATTGGTTACGGATAAAATAAAAAAAAACTAAATATAAAATTCCCACCTCATTCTTCTGGAGAATATTGTAACATGTAGTTTGCTTGTTTATGGATAGTTTTTGATTTATTTATTTTATTCTAAATTATTATTATTTTACTAAAAAACAGTTTTTAGCCTCCCTGCAGCAGCAAACCTAGGTTAAACTAATGTTATTTAAATAGATTTAATTTAAAATCAATTCAGGCAAATGGAAATTCGCTTAGTCTGCAGGTTTGCTGTGGCGGGGGTATTTTAGTGAAATATCAATAAGCCTAGTTAGTTTAGTTTACAGGCCGGTTTAAGTTTACATATTGTCTAGGCTACAACAATAACATGGGAACTTTAAATTTACCGGTACAGTTGTTTTTTTCTACTTAAACCTGTTAAGCGTAAACGCTTCAACAAACTAAATTAGCCTATTTTTTTAAAGCTCTACAAAATGGTTTGGAAAGAAATTACAACATTTTGTGTTATTATAGGGTCAAATAACTTAATCCTATAGGCCTATTAACTTATGTGTTAAAATAAAGACAGTGTTAAAATAATTTAAATGAAAGAAATACATAAGTTAAAGGTATTTACAGGGCCGCCCCGAGGGTAATATACGCCCGGGGCGAGATTTAAATTTTCGCCTCCTCCCCAAAAAAGGTATTTGGGGGTCAATAAACCCAACGTACGATATATCAATATCGAACGTTTTGCAAGTATTTTTTATAAACCCTTTATATACAGTATTGAGTTTGTTTAAATATATGAAAGGGTCCATAGATGGTCAATGTAGCCTAAACCATGTTAACTTAACTTAGTAATGTTACGCTGTTAGCATATCATCAAAACCACGTCTATATTCACAGTTCGAATTCGCACAACACTGAGCTAACCGTAACGTAACAACTACACTGAACTAAATTACTAAAAACATTGAATTTATGATGACTCACAACGGACATCAAAAACGACTATGAGTTGACGAAAGAGTTTGAGCTTTGAAGTTAGAAACAAGCAAGTGTAGGTGAGGCGTGTGGGCGAATGCGCAGTGTGTGTGTCCCGGACTCGCAGTATTGCCAACAAGTCACTTGCCAGATGTAAAATTAGTAATAGTAACTTACGAGTTGTATATTAAATAACGGCATTTATTTAATGAATAAAACGAAGCTATAGATTGCCCTTCTTTACAATAACTTAGTCATTGTAGGCCTAATTGATAAGGTAAATGTTTACAAGTTTTCCGTAAAATATTCATATGCGGTTTGCCAATAACATTGTTAAATTTTTTACCTTCCAAAGCTGCGGGCCCTGGGTATTTATATAGTAAGTACTAAACATCACCGTTACTGCAAATAACAATTACAAACTGTAAGCACAATAAAAAATTCAAATGTGTTCCATGGATAAATGTTCTCGCCAGACCACACAACTTTTAATGGGCCTAAAATGAGTTCATAGGCCCTAGGCCTATATAACTGTACTACAAAAAATTTAAAGTTATTTAAATTTATTCAAGTTATATAACCTAATCAAATTAAAAAAAATAAAAATGAAAATAAGCTATAGGCCTAGCTTAAGTTTGTTGTATGAGTTAAATAGCCTAGTTTTTAATAAGAATAAGAAATTTATTGACCATTAAGTAAATACATTGTTTACAATAGATCTCGTCAAATTAGTCTAAACAAGTGTCAGGCTTTAAAGCTAATACTATTTTCTATTTAAAGCTATGTAGGATGACAGCATATTCAAATAACTATTTCAGAATTTAAAAACTCATCAATCTGGTACATTGGGTTTTCTACGAGCCATTTATACAGAATTTCAAAGAATACCTTATCACTAGTAATATCTACAACGTAGTTTGGCCGTTTATTGTAAAGCTTTAAACCCAGAGTGTGATGATACTTTTGTGTTCTTGTCAATCTACATCTAGATATGTCAATTTTGTTCCTAAACCTAGTAAAGTGATCATGAACATCAGTCCTAGACATATAACTTATTTATCAATATCTTTTCTCACTAGCCTTATAACTTCATAAATGTAAAGATTAATCACAGTCAAAATCCCTGTTTGCACAAACAAAGGCCTACAATGTGCCGGGAAAGATGAACCGGTTATAAGTCTAACTGCTTTTTTCTGTAATATCAAGACATCATCAATACCAATGCCATTACCCCAGACAACCAAACCATACCTCAATATACTTTCAAAGAATGCATAATAAGCCATCTTTAAATAAACATCAGGTAACATTTTTCTTAACTTACACAATAAACATATCACTCTTGATAATTTTTTACAAACTAATTCAATATGATTCTTCCATGACAATTTACTATCAATAGAAATTCCCAACAGTGTTACACTACTTTCCAGGTTTTGATTTGATCTGTTATTAGTCATAGACACAAGCATGTTTTTAGTTTTCTCTTCATTCATAAAAAGCCCATTGACAGTAAACCAATACACAGCTCTTTCAAAACTATCTTTGACCATATTACTTAGTACATCAGGGTTATTATGATAAGAGACCAATGATGTATCATCTGCATATACAGTAGAAAAACAGTCCAGATTAAAGCTAACATCATTTATCAATATCAAAAATAAAATGGGCCCCAATATTGACCCCTGCGGTACACCATGCTTGACCTCTGAAACTTAAGAAACATTTCCCCTAATATCTACCAACTGAGATCTGCCTGTTAAATATGACTTGAAAAAATTTAGATCACAATCTCTAACACCATCGAATTCAAGTTTCTTAAAAAGAACATCATGTGAGACACAGTCAAATGCCTTTAAGTACTCAAATCACATAATGTGATTTGAGCAAGGCACCTACTTTCCAAAGCTAAATACAATTCAGCGACAAGCCTATCAACCGTCTACACTTTCATCTTGACGCAGTTGGCCTAGGCCTAATCGGACGGATCAATGCTGTAGGCTATTTATTATTTTTTTTTACTTAACTTATGTTTGAATGAGTCTCGCTAATTAACTTTTAACCACCACACTGTTTTCCTAAAGATGATTTTTGGTCATGTGAAGGGATTTCAGTATGTGATCCAATAAAAAGGAACAAGAAATAGACTAGGGCCTAGGCGTAGGCCTACAGATATTTTTTAAATGTTAAAATTTAATTGGTAAGCTTGTTTTAGGCTTATTGAGACCCGAGTAAAGGTGTATCTATTAACCCTCCGAGCGTCACTTGTCGAAAAATCGACTCACGACACACTTTGTGTAGTGTCACTTGTCGATTTTTCGACACACGAACATCGTTTACGGCGAAGGCTCTATGACTGACTGAATCGGATTGAACTGGATCGAGTTAGGTATCGTTCTTTTTGTTAGATTCAGAGCTTTCTCCGGAGGTCTGTCTCTAAGCGCTATTCATTTTAGTTCCGAAAATATTGTAGCAGATAGCTGACGTGTGTATTTGTAAACAGCTTGGTTAACCTCGGACCGATGACTGATGTGTTTTATTACGTTTATCATTGTTTTAGTGTTAAAAATCAAAAGTAGTGATATACGTGGTGCATTATAAGAAGATTTAAGTGATTTTGAAGGGCTGGTTGATGATCCTGAAGAAGTAGGTTAGTGATATTGATGTAAATTATCAGCCAGATTCCTAGCTATGGTTAGGCTATGCATTCTTAGCTAAACGCTATGTACTGAAATCTGTTTTTTGCCCATAACTTATTTATTTGCAAATCTACTTCCTTATATTACTATATATTTGTAATCCTCATAAAATTTAGAACAAAGTGGCTATTTTCAAATATTTATAGGCCTATAATTTATACAATTTCATTGAGCGCAAACTTATTTTTTTTTTGAAAATTTTTCAAAATATTTTTTTACCTAAAAATTTTGTTGAAACAAAGGGTACAGTTTCTTAATTGGGCTATGCTAATATCGATTGAAACTATCGAATTGAAAATATTGATTAATGTTCCTTATGTTTTATGTATAATATTGAAGCCCATGATTTTCCAAACAAAATGGTATATACAGTAGAATTAATATTGTTTTAAGCTTCGCAGATCCGTTTTAATAAAACCTTGCAAATGCGCCAAAAATAGGCGGACATTAAGGCCTAAACTATGGACACTCGGAGGGTTAATATAAACATGACATTTTAATACCAGTTACAAGTCGATGGAAAAGCTGGCAATATGTCAGAAGTTGAGGTCGCACCTACCATAGCACATTTGGTAAGTTAGGCCTAACTACTAAGCATATGTAGGCCCTAGGCCTGAAGAAAATGTGATCAAAGTTACATTCCTAAGAAAATATAACATTTAAATATTTAAGTAATGTGTTTAGGTTGTACATTATATACTTACTTCCTCCATATTCCCAAAACGGCACTTTCCCATCTTTTTGTGCTAAGTAAGGAGGTTTAAAACTAAATTTGTACTCAAATCTAGAGAATGGAGCATTACTTAAAATGCCACTCAACAAACAAAGTAGTAATGCACTAAAACACAACCACCTCACTTCGGCTCCCATTATAACTAATATCAAATTCAATTAGTAGAAAAATAAATAAATTGTAGGTATCTTAGCTATATTATGTTGTGGTTATGTTGAGTTGAGTAAAATAGGGCCACACATGGATTACATTTCAGTTCCAACTAGTGATGTGCGATACGTATCGTATCGTATCGGAATATCGCGATACGCGAGGGACGATACGATATTTCGATACGATATTTGAAAAACGATACGTATCGTATCGCCTAAAACGATATTTGTATTTATATCGGCACATAGAGCGATACGATTCATGTCAAAACGATATTTTTAAGCTTTTTCTGCGTAGGCCGAGCATTGAGCAACCTGCAAAATCTGTACTCTGTGGATGTGTAGTTTGAAAGTGGTTTGAAATAGGAGTTTTTGACGTGTGTATTTTTTGTTTTTACTTGATAATGTACCAGTCCCATCCCAGTCCAGTCCATTTCCTTTCCACTAGCGTGCTGCGTGCTATGTAGCACTAGCAGTGAGAGTGTAGGTGGCCAAGGTGGGAACTGTCTGTGGCAATTTCATTAATGTATCTGCAATCCTAAAATTCTATGGGAAGGATAGGGAAACAGGTCCAAGACGTAGGGAATTGTGAAGGAAGTAGTAAAGGTGAGCAGTGAGCAGTGTCGAGTGTGGAAATGGATTAATGAATGTATCTGCAATACTAACTGTTTTCAGAGTAAACTAATGATTTTCCCCGAGCAAAGCTTGGTCCCCAGGTACTTATATAAATTTGCCGTTTCTATGTTAGGTAGGGGAGGGGGAAAACGATACGATACGTATCGTTTTTCGATATTTTTGACGATACGATTCGCGTATCGCGATACAGACGCCCGATTCAATACGGCGATACGATATTTTTTTCCGATACGTATCGTATCGCTGTATCGCGATACGCGTCCGTATCGCCCATCACTAGTTCCAACTTCCAAGCTTTAGTTTCGATGATGTTGACAATGCCAACCAATCAACTTGGTTCGTTCTGATTGGTAAAGTGAATATTTCAAAGAACACTAAAGAAAGTAACCACCTATAGAAAATATCCAACAAGAACGTACAGTATAAAATGTATATAATGTAGATTGCATTAATGGAATGCAAATCTTTTTCTTGCCACTTAACTAAATTCAGCATAACAACACAATACAGTACAACGATGTATTTGAAAGCTGGTGCTTAAAACTTTGTTTCTGGATTTAGACATTTACTATTAATACAGTTGATGTAATCATACATATAACATACCATAATATACTGTATATTAATAGTTAATGGTTGAGGGTAAAGAAAGTTTATTAACACAATTTTTACGATAAATACATAAGCAACGAATTATATGATAGTATGAATATTTGAATATTTTGAAGATGAACAAACAGACAAAAACACATTTCTCTTATATATAGGTTTTGAAACGTCAAAAAGTTTATTAGCAGTACCAAAATGAAAAATAAATCATCAAAATTGGATTAAGTGAGGATTACATGGTACATTAAATTTAGTTATTTGAAAGTAATAGAGAAGCTACCCATAGAGATAATAACACCTTATCTATGGGGAAACATGTTTTTTTAGTTTATATAGTTTTTTTTTTGTATAAAAAACATTTTAGCGGGAAACCTTTACGAGCCACTTTCTACGGTCTGACAACAACAACAGTTTGACATTGACAACCATTGGGAGAGAACTGAGACTGGGACTGGACTGGAGACTGGACTACTGACTGGACTGGACTGGAGACTGGGACTGGACTGAGGTCGTGTGAGGAGACAGGAGACCTGCTGAACCTGGGGCTTTAGAATCTTTTAGTTTAATATAAGTAATATTTTTAGTTTTAGGACGATTGGGCACAATTATAGCCACCCACGGTGGTGTTCTATCGTGAAGGTCTCGTCTGAGTGACGACTACAACTAGTAGAGGATTGAGTATTATAAGCCAATCATCGGTCTCAGGTAAGAGACACGACTCTCGGCTTTTAAAACATTGATTAGATATGCATGCACATGGAGGCGGAAGAGAAAGTTAAAATGGTTCAGAGCAAATTGGGCAGGTCATGTACCAGCTTCTACAAAACCAGAGCGAGAACTGTGTAAATTCCACTCAGGAGGAGGGACGATGTCGAAGTTGGACAACGTTAAACGTGGACTACGTTAAAAGCAGACACCGCCTCAATCAGACAACGATAAAAGCAGACAACGACGAACATGGACACATTCAAATGTGTCCAAGCTTAACGTTGCACGCAAACGACGAACCTGGACACATTTATAAGTTGTCCAGGGGTGGCGTTGCACGACACGACGAATCTGGACACATTCAAATGTGTCCAAGTTTAACGTTGCATGCAAACGACGAACCTGGACAAGTTTTCAAGTTGTCCAGGGTTGTCGTTTGCGTGCAACGTTACCCTTGGACACATTCAAATGTGTCCAAGTTTAACGTTGCATGCAAACGACGAACCTGGACAAGTTTTTAAGTTGTCCAGGGGTGGCGTTGCACGACACGACGAAACTGGACACATTCAAAAGTGTCCAAGGGTAACGTTGCACGCAAACGACGAACCTGGACACTTTTAGTTTTTGAATAGACTGTACACCAGGGTCATCAAATTCTCAGTCTTGCTCGGTTGGTAAACTCTGAATGAGCTTCCTAAAACAGAAATGCCATGAATACGCCTTATTGTTACAAGGCTTCTTTCTAACACACTGTTACTATTACACTGTGTTGTAGTGACTCATAGTCCGCGAAACACATTGTACTTTATTAATTCGGAAATTTAATTGCATGTTTATTTGGTCGTTGTAAATGTTTGCTGGATATTAATAAAAAATTAAAACCTATATGGGACCTGGATACACCGTGTCCCAAACGGACGGTTCAAATCTACAGATTTTGTTCAATATACGTGTTGCTAAATGTCGTAGAAAAGTTAATTAAGTCTCATTTTAAAACTGCCATATTTAAGTGATTTTTAGTGCCCTTCAATAGTAATTAGCTGTCCATTGTTTTTGGCACATTTGAATCTTCAAAACATACATTTGCAATATGGAGCTGCGGCTGAAATCAAAATTTGTTAATGGTTTATAGAAACGAAATATGTGGAGTGTTTTTGTCTGGGGGTTTGTCCTTGGTTTTTCAATGATTGAACGTATCAGTCGTCAACCTCTAACATGGATAAACTAACAAAATGAAGCAAACAGATGCCTTAGATTTTAACGTTTCCGTGGCGAAACAACTGCAATAGAGCAGTCAAATTGTTATGGATTATTTAATTACGGTATGTGTAAATGGATCCTGCTCGACTATACCTGTTTCACAATGTGCAGTCTATCGTATCCTACGATCACATATCGTACCTACATAGGTTGAAATAATAAAACTGATTCGTTTGAGGATTATTTGAACAAAGCAGCAAAATAGCGGTGATACACAATGACAACATATCAGGCGTGTATTTGAGATCGTTAGTGAATCCACTACGGGTAATACTTTGCAAAACCGTTACGGAACTATAACTACACCCGCCACAACGAACCTGCAGACTAAAAGCTACTTTACTTTAGTCTGACTGAGTTGTCAATAAAATATCTCCTTAAAAATGAAATATTTATTCCCTACTATAACATTAGTTTAACGAGTTTTTGTGTATGCTGCTACAGGGAAGGCTGTAAGGTGTTTTTATAGTTCAATGTTGACAGTATAGTATAAATAAATACATTTTCCAAATTTGATCATATTTTGTTTATAAACAAGCAAACAACAACAGTTCACTTATTCTCCATAAGAGTACTCTCCTAGGGCTCTGCCCTGCCTGCCTTAAAAGTGTCTACGTTATTCTTATGAATACACTTAATATTGGAATTTTCAAATGTATAACGTAATTTATTTCATTATATCGTATAAATTTATACGAAAAGTAATTTGAAAATGATCAGGCTGCTGATCTATCGAAATTTTGTTTATTTATTCGTTGGTTCTTTTCATCCAGTATATCTATGTAACATATTCTCTCTCGTTGCGAATCACGGATATAGCACGGACGTAGGGGGTGGTGAAGGAAGTAATAAAGGTGAGCAGTGTTGAGTGTGGGAATTGATTAATGTATCTGCAATGCTAAAATGTTATTGGAAGAGACTGTAGACTGTAGGTTAAAATGGTTACGAAGCACGAATCGATACATATTTTCGATATATGCAATCGTTTACAATAGAAATTTACAACTGAGTTGACAACAGCTGATTTTTACTCCATAGAGGCCTAAAATGATTCTTACTCCCTAAAGAGTAAAAATGCTACTTAAGACCCGCAACGCATGCATTAAAAACGACTGTTTTATGTAGTATGACAAAAACAATATATTATGAACCCTTGATGATTCCGCTCAATTTTGTGGATGCTTCTGCAAACGCCACCTAGTAGTTTAAACCTACCATTGCTAAGTGGCCACCTCAGCATACAAAAGTGTCAGTCATGAAATGGCTAACAAAATACTAAAAGCTTTTTGGTTATTAGAATTTGTAAGAAAATTGTAGTGGAAAATATAAACTTAGTTCCAGATCATAACAGATGTTGCATTTGAGACTAAATCTTTAAGATGCTGTCTGACTTCTGGCCAATTAATCATACATTTAAATAGCTCATAAAGTATTTGGAAGAATTAATAATTATTTACCACTAGGCCTTCTATTGTAGCGAGAGAAGTGTCTTGCTTGCATTTAAACACAAAAATGAACAACTTAAATAAGTAAAATTAATTATGAGATATCAGAGATTCCAAATATAAACTTTCAATCCTAGCCAAAAAACAGTAACTAACTGAGAGAAACTTATCTTACATATTGGACAATATAAAACTTAAGTTTCCGGATTGTTGATAAAACAATTTTTCTTTTATTAATTAATTTTATTTATTCATCATTTATTGGAAAATTGTTATACAAAACAATCCAAATCACTGGTTTGTATGATATTGGACACGTTTCAAATTTTACTGCAAACGTCACTTAACAAATACTGTACCATGGTGTAACGAGATAATACGTCCTCTGAAAACAAATGGTGACCTGTTTAGAGTAATGTTCTTCATATCAACTTTCAATTTTATCTT